AGGTGAGTATTGTGTGAAATATTTCTTTTGAAAAGATCGAAAACGATCATATGCCATCAACGAAGAAGAGTACCAAGAGAGTCAAGTGGGATCAAATTCCAAAAACCAACCTCATTCTCCACCCGTCTAGCAAGGGTGTGAGCAATAACGTTACACTTCAACCTCACAAATCCCTTTCCTGCAAGCTAGCAATCGTCTCCGATGACAGCGGGTCTTGAGCACATTGCACCCGATCACTCACAGCAGCTTGAAATAAAAGAACCAGTCGACCTAAATAACACTCCACCAAAGCCAACCACTATGTGTTTTTGCAAACAAAGCAGCACCTGCATACGCCTTTGCCAGCCCAGCTTTAGAACCTCTGACTATAAAATTCTACGACTTGGAAGGAGTGTCAAATGTTCCTTCCGGCCATTAATCATCGCTAGATTCCAATGTAATCTTCTCTTCTGCAAATCAGACTTACTCATTGAACCGGCCTCATTTTGAAACCAATCAAGAAAGGCCATTCCAACCGCCCCTGTTGCATAAAATAACCCAAGCCTCTCCACACCACCACAGTGAATGGAAAACCCAGAAAAACCAAAAACACCAAGCCTCTCCATGATATGCCATCACGTGTTGACATAAATTAAACCAAAAAAACCTTTTGAGTAGTATTCCAATATACCTTGGACTTCTTCTCCCCCAAACAATTTTTCAAAGAAAGAAATGTGCTCTAACAAGATGTAATTTTGATAATGTTTTCAAGTTTTGTTCTTACTTTATAATAAGATAAAATATGATGCATAGGTCTGCAGAATAGATGAGTTATATTTTAAAAATAACATCAAAACTACTCAAGATCTTTTTATGGTGTGCTTTTTTTCATTTTTGAAAAGTTTTATGATACGGAAGAAGTATACTCTCTGCGTTCAACAATAAAGTTCTCATTCACTATTAACAGGGACAAACTTTATTTACTTTGTTGGCTTATTTTCGTGTCTTATTTGATAAAAAAAACATAGTTATGTGAACTCTAGTTTTGTAGATTTTTTCATGTAATTCTTAAATATGTAATTTTTAATTGCATACCATTATTGTCATGAATCGAACTTGGATCTTACTCCCATGGTACTCTTTGCCTTTGCCAACTGTACAACGCCCACCGGCTCGTGGCAATCATTCGAGGGAAATAATGGATGATCCACCAAAAAAAACAATCTTATTGAAGCAATGGACACAAAAAATAATGTAGACTTTAGGTTTACCGAAGAAGTAACATTTATTTAATGAAATCAAGCAATTGAGTTCTAAAATTCTACATGGTATCGGAGTCAAATCTTGAGATTTAAAAACCCTAGTTTACTCAAGTTGCTTCAAATGCCGCCGTCGCCCGTAATTTGTTGGGCGGCAGTGACATCCCATTCGTTCCTCTTTGTCGTTGTTTTCCAATATTCAACATCATCGCACTATGCGGGCATAGTCTCACATCGCACCACGCCAAAAACTCATCCCTTTCTGTTTTACTTGCTTCACAAATTTTTTTCTCATTTTTATTAAAAATTTATTTTTACCCGTGCGTACGGCATGTCAGTTTTTGGGTGGGGGGAGGGGAGAGTCAGTCATCGAACCTCAGTCCGATAATATATACTCCCTCCGTCCCGGAAAACATGAGAGTTTTGATTTTGAAGGAGGATTTAAGATGAGTGTATTTTGGTATTGAATTTTCAAAATGTTCTTTGATGTGATGGGTAAAAGTATGATTTGATGGATAGTTTATTAGTAAAAAGATATGATGTGATAGGTAGGGTAGGAAAAAGTAAGGAGTAAAAGTAACTTTATAATAGAAATGAGAAATGTTTTTTGATACGGATAAAAAAAAGGAGATAAGTTTTCTGAGGCGGAGGGAGTACATAATAAAATAAAAGTCCTTACCTCATAAATGGGAGTCGAACTTGGGTATCCTAGGAACCTTGGAAATGCTTCAACCAGTACAGCTACAAAACTTTTTGTTCCATAGTACACACAATATAGAATATATCAACTATAATGATTTCATTAAAACTTCTAATTATTTTGAAAAAAGAAACATAAGTAGTATCTAATATATATTTTTTATGAGCTTAGAAAATAATTAAAAATAATATTTAGAATTTTTATATTTTATCTAAAAATTAATTTTATTTTTTCAAAAAGGAAATGCCTAAAAAATTATTGTCATCAATACAAATTAAGAAATATTATTAATGATTCTTTAATTTATTAAAATTAATTTTTCTTATTTTACTTTTTCTCGTTTCAATCAACTAAATATAAACGTGATGTAATAGATACGAATTACAGAGTATTCATTAAGAACACATTACCAAGCCTTTACTTTTTAAATATATGAATATTGTCTAACTATTTTACGGAGTAGTATTTATTAGATATTCATTATTTATCTTTAATAGTAATAAAAAATACAAATAGAAATAGAAAGTGTAGTGGTATATGCAAAATTATATTGAAAACTAGCCAAATGAAAGAGTTAAAAAAACAAAATAAAACTCCGTATTAATTAAAAATATCTAATAATGTAATATAAAATAGTTCTTTTAATTACAGTTGATCAGGTCGTTGATCCCCGGGTGACTGATTAATCCTTGACCGTAAAATGATTTTGTCATTTACTCATTTTGTTATAATATTAGTATGTTAATTTTCATTTAAATATAATTACTTTGCACACTTTATTTTGTTAAACCGTTAGAGATAAAGATTTTATGACCTTTTTTCTGTCTCAGCCTAGACAATCAAGTTTTTAGGACCCGCCCTGGTGCTTTGTGTTATCGGGCTCATTAGTATTGGACCCGTAGTAAGGTCATGATCTTGTAATTATTATAAATAGCTAGTTTATGTTTGATGAAATCAAATGATTCAGTTCTAAAATTCTACGGGAACTTTTAAAATAATTTTAAAATATACGAGTATAATATTTTAAAATGTTGCCTTATTTAAATACTCCGTATAAATTAATAATAAAATATACTCCATATTAATCGTCATGATCCAAAACAAAAAGAAAATCTGAAAGAGAGAAAATATGAAATAAATAAATAAAACGAAAATTCTATTTTAAGACAGAAATTATGGGCCAGAGTAATAAATAGGGGGGGTAGGTAGCCAGGCAGGAGCTGAGCATGGGGTGTGGGGATTGCGAACCCATCACCATTCGCGGCATTATGGGACGGACCACCAACAGTGCTGCCTTGCTGTCATTTACGGACTACTTTTGTTAATCTCATAAATTATGTTTTTGAGATTGGCTACATAGATCAAATAATGTCATTGTATTTTATATGTACTCCCTTCGTCCCACTGTCTTTGTCCACTTATCTTTTGGCACACCATTCAATGCACTTCTTTAATCCATTTTATCTTGTAATTTGTATATTAAAAAAGTATAGAAATTATATATTAATAATCTATATGTTAAGACAAATCAAACAAAATCACACATGACTATATTTAGGCTTACACATGGAGAGAATTTGATGAGTCAAAGTGCTTAGATGAACAATTCCAAAAGTCAAAAGTGGACAAAGACAGTGAGACGGAGGTAGTATTATATCTATAGCAAGATTATTCGTTGAAAAATCTTCTCTAGCCACCACATAAGACATAACTGGTCTAATCGAAGTATGATAATATTTTTTCTCTTTACTTTCATATAAAAAGATTTGAAAATATCTCCAGTCAAATCTTCTCTAGCCACCACGGTCTACACTGTTTATGAGAGAAAGCTGCTCAAAGTAGAGTAGATATTTTTTCTAGTTACGATTTTGGAGCGACAAGGAGAAAAAAGATACTTCCTCCGTCCTATAATGATCTTCCCAGAGCACTATTCTAACTTCACGGGAATTTATATTTATTTGTGTTTTTTCATGGCCTATATGATAAAATAAAATATTCTTGTCATCACTTGTTTTGTTGAACTTTTGATGTAGTTTTTAAATATGTATGTTTTATTTTTTATTTCTATACCAATATTTAAATAAAATAGATTGAAAAAATTTAAGATTTTTCTTCGTTTTGCGAACCAGGAAGATCATTATAGGACGGAGGGAGTACAACACCATTCTTCCTTTTTTTCATAAATACTTTTCTATCAAATACATTTTCACTTTTTAACATTTCTTACATAGCATAACTTAAAAAATTTAAAGGCAAAAAGATCAGAAAGAGTCTGTTTGGTACACGGAATTGACGGAATTGGAATTAAATTGAAAGTTGGAATTCTATAGAATTGATTTGGGTGGAATTGAGTTCTCTACTTCCAGTTCATTTTTTGGCGCTACCACTTCCAAATCCACGTATTTTTGGCGCTACCAAACACTAGAACCGGAATTATTGTCCTCAATTCCAATTTCATATTTTGAATTTCGTGTACCAAACGGAGGAAAAGTATAAATCCCAAATCTCCTTTTTTAAGTCCAAATAGAGTGATAAAGCACTATAAGATGGGAGTGTGTGCCACCAACAGCTTTCAATTCAAAGCACACTTAGCTTTGATTTGCTCATCTTTTTCTTCTTTAACTGTATGTGTAGGCCAATCTTTTACTTTACACAGTTCACAGAAAGCAACATAACACATCACCATCTGTTGAAAAACTTTGAAGACTTTTATTCATTCATCCAATGATTGAATTCACCCCCACCCCCCATCCCCCAGTCCCCCCCACCATACACTTTCATTCAAAAAAAAAAATCTTATTCCTTGTTTGGAAGAAATGAAAAATTGTTTCAAACTCTCTATGAGGAGAAGAATGTACACTTTCAAACTCTATACCATCATCTATACTGCTCTCTCTCTCTCTCTCTCTCTCTCTCTCTCTGTATTTATACCTGTTACTCCAA